CCATTTTTGCTCATTTCTCGGAGGCAAAATGAGCAAGAACGCTAATTTGTACATCATTCTATACAGAAATAAATGGCCTTTTTAGAAAGTGAACCATGGATGGGCAAATGTTGGCAGTTTTCTCAAAAGAGGCTTGAATTCAAGAAGTTTTAGATTTGCGTGGTTTTTTTTTGAGTTGCAAAATCCACATGAACATGACGCTGCCTTTTTCGAAGTTTCTCAAGAACCATTCGAGCCACAGAATTCGTTTTGGCATCGTTGGAAAAAGATTGTTTCAGATTAACTTCCATGTTAATTCTTCCACCGGATCCATTCGGGGAAATAAATTTTACAAAACATGCCTAAAAAGCCAAACTTTTCAGGCACCTACCATCATGAGAACGACGTTCTTTCGCAAAACCTCTTCCGCATAGGCGGCGAGCCGTGGCGCACTTTGCGCCAGAAGTTGAGCCCCACGTTCACATCCAGCCGCATGAGGATGATGTTCGAAACCATGCAGCAGAAGATCCAGCAGCTGGAACCGATTCTGGATCGGTGCATGCAGGAGGGACGAATCAATGTGACCGATGTGAGCGCTTGTTTGACCACCGACGTCATCGGGTCTTGTGCTTTCGGAATTGAGTGCAACGCCCTCCAAGATCCAGATTGCCAGCTCAGGTTGCGCCCGCCCCTAATCTGTTCGGGTGGACATTAATTTGATTTTTCCCCAGGCAGCAGGGCCGGAGAATCAGCATCCCCATGCCGTTGAAACAATGGGTGGAGAACACGATTCCCAGGAAGCTTTTGGGGTACACCGGCTTCAAAGCATTCCCAGGCCAAGAGGGTTTTTTTAGGAAGTTGGTGCTGGATACGATGGCCTACAGGGAGAAAAACAGCGTTTACAGGTGAGAACCTTCTATTGCCAATATCCCGCTGTGGAGCCAAGCACTGTTCTTCGCAGGAAGGACTTCATGCATCTGCTGCTTCAGCTGCGCAACAAAGGGGTGTTGACCGACGACGGAAACTTTTCGAGGGAACAGTCCCATAAGGGCATTCTAACCGACGACGAAATCATTGCCCAGTGCTTCATTTTCTTCACGGCTGGTTTCGACACGTCCTCCTCTACTATGGCCTTTGCCATGCGCGAGCTGGCTCTTCAGCCTGATCTTCAGGCCAGAGTCCGAGAAGAGGTCCTGCAGGTGAGTGCGGAAGCGCAATGGGAATTGGAAAAAGCTGATCAACTTTCCTCGGTAGGTCTTCAGTAAATATGGCGGAAACATCACATACGAGGGCACTAAGGAGCTGCTTCTAACTGGCAGAGTGATTGCAGGTAATGCGGTCAATCAGTGGTCGAAGGGCTTTGCCCAGATGCTTGAAGTCGTGGGTTTCAGAGACTCTCCGGAAGTACCCAGTTTTGCCCAATATTCCCCGGATTTGCACCAAAGATTACAAAATACCCGACTCCAATGTGGTGCTGAGGAAAGGTAATTGGAGCCCCACTATCTTTCTGTTCTGTCCACATACACAAATACCTTCCTTAAACTAATCTGAAGTTTCTTAAGGTACGCAGATTCAGCTGCCCGTCTGGGGCCTGCACATGGACCCCGATTACTACCCCGACCCCCATAAGTTCGATCCAGAGCGGTTCAGCGAAGCGGCGAAAGCCACCAGGCCGGAATTCGCCTATTTCCCCTTTGGGGAAGGCCCCCGAATATGCATAGGTGAGCGCTAAAGCCCATAGTTGGCCCAGATTAAGGGTGGTTTTCAGGGGCGCGATTCGCTCAATTGGAAGCCAAGCTGGGGTTGGCCGCATTGCTGAGAAGGGGCAAATTCTCCGTTTTGCCCCACGCGCCCACCACACTGACTTTCAAGCCCAGCATGGTTTTGCTGCATGCTACTGAGGATATTCAGCTGAAAGTGGAGCAAGCCTGACCAAAGAGATTTTTCTAATATGGTTTTGTCGAGAATAAATTCTACCTAAGATTTTTGAGGGGTTTTAAGCTATTTTTTTGTTGAAATACATCAAAGCTTCATTTTCCGCGTAGCACAGTGAAGCTTTCGCCTCGTGTGGTTCAAATATTCCGTGGCGCCGTTGGGAAATGACAACAGCGTATGGCGGCCATGTTAGTTGTATACAGCGAAGATAAGCAAGGTGACGTTTTAATTCAGTGATCAAAAAACACCGTTTTCAGCAAGTTTTTCGGAAAACCCCGTTTTAAAAATGAATTTTCGCAATATTTTTAACAGAGCAGATAGTGTGAGGAAACCCCCGCAAGCGTCCGTGTTCAGGGCAGTCCGCTATTAGTCAGTTTCTATTTTTAGATAGGCGACATTAAATTCCCGTTGGAAAGTGCGTGCGGATCTAATACCGATTTGTTGAAACTTAGAGGAATGAAACTCACATCCAGATCCAGAGCCGAAAAAAGCTGGATTTATCCCATTGCGAATCAGCTGTTTGTCCATGTGGTGGCGCCCCCTACCAAAGCGATTTAAATGCCACTGACAATCAAATGTCAAACCCCAGTCTCAAAGCGCATATAAGAAGAGAGGTTTGAAAAATGAGTTCACAAGCAGATAAACCGCGAGTTGGATGTTTTGTATGTAGTTCGGTCGATAATCTACTGCGGTGTGCCCGATGTAAAGCGATTTACTACTGTTCCAGAGAGCATCAGAAGAGAGACTGGAAGCGACACAAAGCTGGTTGTAAACAGTTGAATCCTGGGGCTCCAAACGGCCCTTCGACTAGCAACGATTCAAATTCAGTCGAGCAGAGATACGGGCATTTGTTTACCAACTCAGTGGCGTCTTTGTTGCCCATTGAGGGCAGCTCAGAGAGCGAGATCCTGAGCACGGCGGGGGAGCTTCTAGGGGAGACCTACACTGGGGCTTTCAACAACAACATCGACGACAAAAGTTCCAGCGAAGAGTCCCTAAAGTGCGCCAAATCAGCCATGCCGATTGCAGGCGAGAATATCGTGAAGCCAGTCAAAGGCATGAAGTATTTCCCTGAAGTGGCGCTAGCTGGGGGCTCGGCCCCCTTTCAGCACAGCATAGACGACGTTGTGTTGGAGAGCATGTGCAGAAACATTATTGAAGACCTAAGTGATTACGGTTTATGTGTGCTGGACAATTTCCTCGGCTTCGAGGAGGGCAACAGGGTGATGGCCGAAGTGCTCAACATCAAGGGCACAGGAGCCCTGAGAGACGGCCAGCTGGTCTCAACAAGGGGAAAGGCCAAGGAGGACCTGAAGACCATTCGGAGTGATAAGATTTGCTGGGTGCATGGCAAGGAGCCCGACTGCGAGCACATCGGCTATTTGATTGGGCGGGTGGACACCCTCATTACGAGGGCCAATAGAATGTTCAATAACGGCAAGCTGGGACAGTACAACATCAATGGAAGGACCAAAGTAAGTCACCTTTATCAAATACCTTGATATTGAATCGGAGCTACAACCTTGGGCCGAGTCAATGTTTATCGCACATAAACTCGCTAGTTACACGACCAATTCCATGTAGCTGGGAAATAGTCGCTTCTGGGAATCACTAAATGCAAGGTGTGCGAACTGCAAGCAGAACGTTTGGAGAAATTTGCCAGAAATGGGTGTTTTTGTCGTTGTTTAGATCAGTGGAAAATTTGAGGAGTTAGGGCTTTGCGATCGTTGGTTAAACCGGTGAGATTTTCCGGCTTCTAACGCAACAGAATCTTCTAAAATGAATATATTTCTGTCTCAAAAGCCCTCTTTTGGCCCTGATGCCAAAACCCCAGGTTTCAGCGTTTTTCGACTAACTCAACCCCTGTGGGCGCCTGAAGTGCCACTTTGGAACCTTGCATTTACACATTCCGTTCTAGCTTCTAAATTTAAACGTAAATTTCCCCTGATAAGTTCGCATTCATGCCTTTGGTCGTATTGGGATTATTCAATATTTACATCCTCCAATGAGGTTCGGTTTTTCCTCTATCTAGTTGAATGTTTCGAAACCCGATGTTCAATGTTGTTTGCCAATTTTGACTCCGCCTACCCACACTGGCCGGTGTCTCTCTTTCTCCCATTCTAAGATGTGCACATCGATTTATTATCAAATGTAACGTCGTGTGCGAGAAGTCACGTACACAAGCGAAACCTCTACCTGGGGCGAAACACAAGTTCTAATAGAAAGGCAATGTTCTTGCAAAACGAATTTGGCTGTTTGTCGGCGGGTTCGCTTGCCGTTGGCCCCATTTTGGGGTCATCAAATTGAAGCTCTACGCGTTTAATCCGGCCACTTGGGATGCGCTGGGGCTGTTTTGGCCTACGTGCCGATAACGAAATTCGCCTCATTCACACAACAACTCTTTAAATGCCCTTGTACTAATACCGATAAGTGCATCGGTGTATTTACACAATCCGTTTACCTTTGGCTAATTGAAATGTATAAACATATTGCTAAGTGGGCGGCTTTCTGGCGTTTTCTCATTGTTTATCGCAACAATTGTGGAAACGATACGGTTCACTTTCCACTTTTTTCGCCAGCCAATCGTCGATTATTTACAATGTGTGTGTATGTACGTGACGTGCCAAGCATCGTTTTCACACGTAGGCCATTCGGTGGTCCATCTTCCACTTTAGCCTCGACTGAATGGGTTTATCTGGCGCACTTATGTAGTGTTTATTTATGGGGCTTTAAGTTTCATAATATTTGCATAATAATAATACACTTTAGGCTTAGGATTAGTGTATTTTCGCCGCGAAAATGTGCATGCGGAAGTAGATAGCTTCAGTTCAGGCCACTAGTGATTGCGGCGCATTCACCATTGAATCAAGATGAATTATTACTATTGCGTTTTTTATCGCCCTGGTTTGCTAAAAAACCAAAATTTGCAGGAAAAGTTGAGGACAGTTGTGTTTATTTTGGAGCATTAATTTCCGATTCCTAACTGCTTTGGCATCCGATATGTGGTTTTCTAAATAAAATGTACACGTGAATGTGACTGACCCCGTGAGGGTTGAAGAGGTTTCGAGCCTCTAAAGAGATAGATCCAAACTTTGATGAAATGTTGACCGTTTTCAATGATATCTCAGAAACTCTTGAAGTTATCTAGATAATCATTAGGGCCTAATTGATAGAGCGTCTCGCAGATTATCTAATCGGAACCTTAAAAGCTTAAAAGAAAAAACATCGCCTCTTTAATCTTCACTTCTATTTCCTGACCAAACCCATTCAAGGAGGGTCCGGTTGAAATCCTAATGCTTCACTTGATTAATTTTTCTAATTTCAGCCCGACTAATGCGTTATTGCTATTGCATTGTTAAAAAACAGGCGTTATCAATATGTGTGGCTATTTTAGTACGTTCGTGAAATTGTAAAGTGCGAACAAAACAATGAGTATCGTTTTAGTACTGATAAAGGGGATTTAGCGCAATTCCCCAGTCTGTTTGTAATTTGTGTCGCCTCTTAACGGTTTGCCGCCGCCGTCTGCATTCCCATGTTTAATCCCCGAATTTGGTCCTTGATCGAGTAATTTACGTGTTGATTCAATTATCTGCCAAATAGTAAAGCAATCGCTTCAGTTGGAGGATCAAACTACAGATATAATTAGAGAAAACCGTAATTAGCCGCATTCAATGTCAACAGGAGTTTGGCAAATTGCTGTTTCCTAACGGTTGAATTCGGCGCTTACATTTCGGTATGTTGTTGAAAGCGGGTCATTTAAATGCTGCTCAACTGGCCCAAGTCACATAAGCAAATCCGCCCAAGTTTGCTTGGTTTTTTGGCACTGGTGCATACGTGACTTTGCGAACGCAGTGACTTATTCCCTAATGGGTTTTCCGACAATTGCGAACGCGGCTTAGGGGATTACCCAATCGTTTTCAATTTTCTGGTGGTGCGATGTACACATTGTTCATTTGCCTTGAGATTATCAGCCCTTTCAATTGATCATTGTTTGCGAATGACTTCATTTACGATCATAGTTGGGTTTTGTTTGTAAATACGTGCATTCTGGCGCGATTCTGACTGTTTACCAACGCATTAGGGCTCTTTTGATATGGGTGCTGAAATAGTGTTGGAGAATTTTAACTGCTTTGCACTAGCACCACTCCTCCTGCACCCACTAAAAGCACTGGAATTAAATTATGATTTTTCTTTCCTGGGTTTCAGTCAAAATGTTTATTTCATATTACGTTTCGGCGAGACAACAGCGCCATCATCAGATTAAAATTCAAAACAAAACCCCAAATTGGGAACAATGTCCCAATTATGGGTTTTGTTTAGAATTTTAATCTGATGATGGCGCTGTTGTCTCGCCGAAACGTAATATGAAATAAACATTTGACTGAAACCCAGGAAAGGAAAAATATAATAACAATTACCCGCAGTCAGGAAAATAAATTTAAAAAACTGGAATTAAAGCGAAACATTATTAAGAAGACTGTAAAGTGAAGAAGTTGATATTGCTGTTGCACGTCGACAAAAGGGGGACTAATTGTGGTCATTCTTTTATTCTAGGCGATGGTGGCATGCTATCCAGGCTCTGGGGCTCACTATGTGAAACATGTGGATAATCCAAATAGAGACGGCCGTTGCATAACAGCCATCTATTATTTGAATCGCAACTGGGACGTGGATCAATACGGGGGCCTGCTGAGGATATTCCCGGAAGGATGGCGAGAGGATAAAGTGAGTTTTAACTTCAGAGCTTAGTTTGTCACCGTAATATGATCGAGTAGGTTGATCAGGTTAATTCGACGAAATAGGCTCAATGTGTTTGAACTAACCAGGGTGGTTCTTTGGTTTCAGGTTGCCGATATAGAGCCACTGTTTGATCGGTTGCTATTCTTCTGGTCGGACCGGCGAAATCCCCATGAAGTACAACCAGCTTTTGCTACGAGGTACGCCATAACGTTGTGGTACTTCGATGCTGCGGAGAGAGAAGAGGCTGTGAGACGTTACGATAAAGAACGTAAGCCATTGGCCGCTAGCTCGTCGATTCGTTGAAGCCTTACCACGCCCCCCTATCTTGCAGGTTTAGCTTTAGAAAAATCTACCTCATCGTCCACCTGACTGATGGCGAACAAGCGCCTGAAACTTGTTTGACCGCCCTCGACCTGAAGACCGAGGCCATGCCGGGTAAAAATCGCCTCTTGTACATAGCCATACGGTGTGATATTTACTTACCGCCTCCTGGGTACACAACATATTTAAACAGTTTTCTTTAAAAGACTTTGGCTTACGTTTTATCCGTTTATTTTCTAGCCGCGGAATCACTTTCAATATGCCCTGTTAATTAATTAAGCGCAGTTTGGGAAAGGTAAGTTTTCCTCAGTATTTGTTCTTTAACTAGATTTTAAGGCGACTGGTTTGATTCTCAGGCAGATCGTTCTGAAGGTTCATTGCTCTTTTTCAATGGAATATCGGCATTCCTGCTGATTATTGTTAACCGACGGGTAAAAGGACTGAGTTCGTTTTCAAGAAAATCAACGATCTGCCTGGAACTATCGCGCAAATTTCCCGATCTAATTTAATGTAGGCCCATCTGCGCCTGTGTTGTGTGATAAGTAAATGTTGTCATTGTTTTTACTACATGAAAACGTGAGTACTACCACGTAAGTTGTAGATATATATCCGATATTGTAATGTATAAAGTATGTTAAGAAAAAGCAACATTATTTTGTTAAAGACTCGAAAGAAATAAAATCAAATACCCAAAGCAGCTTTAATGCGGTGTTATCGAAAAACCTAAGAAATACCTTAAATTTATTCCATAACTAGCTGGGCTCGGTTTCAGCTTCATCGATGGCACAGTCCTCGACCGCGCTCTCTATATCCTTGGCCGGATAATACATTTTGAAGCCAAACTCCCCCGTACAAAACTGACCCTGAAAGCACGCATCAAAACAAAATTCTTATAAAACCGCAAACCATACCGGGTTCATGACGATGCAGTTCTTGTAATGATCCTTGTAGGCCTCTGATTTATCGCCAATAACCACCAGATCAGGCAGGGGATAGAGCGACATGCAATAGTCAAAGTCCCAGTGAACGTTTAGAGCGTTCAGACTAACGGGGCACAAATGCCCCTGGCCGATGATCGTTCTGGTTACCTGGAACCCCAACGTTTGCAACCGCCATCGCGTGACCCTGGCAAAATCTTACGGCTTTCGAGATCTCCTGCTTGGCGGGTTTATACAACGTTCCTTGCAGGAACTTGGCCAAAACATCCGCCCGGAAAACGACGATTTCCTTAGTGCAATACTGAATCCGGCACGGATTGGAGGCGAAAGTCGCATTGGGCAAAGCCTGCCCCATTTCGTCCGTTACAAAGTTTGGTAGTGCCAGCCTACAACATTCTGTAGACTAGTCGCTTTTGGGGCGATCAGCCCTGACTTACCGGGGGGCAATATGGGGCGTGCACGGATCGCCCAAGCCTGGCACGAAAACAAACTGGCTGGTCGTAACTAACGAAGAGTATCGTAGAATGAGCTCCGTCAGCCTTTTAAACAGTTTCCTCAGCTCGTTTAGAGTCTCACTGCCATGCGACTCGGACATGAAGTCGCCGAGAAACACAAAAGCAATTGGGGGGCAAAATTGCTCCATTTGCCCAAACAGTTTTTCCAATTGATGAAACGTCTGAAACGTATAAAATAGTTGAGTTGAACCCGAAACAACCACACGAATACCTGAGGATGGTCCAGCCAAACATCCGAGAGAAACACGAACATTTCGTCAGGGTTTCCCACTAAGTGCTGCTTCAGCCTTTTCGAGTCTCTCAAGGGGGTTGCAGACTTGCCGCCGAAGTAATTAAAGTTCCCAAACGCCGGCCTGAAAGCCGCAATTCAGGCAATGGTTGCTTGCTTACCTCGACCACCTCTAGCTTACCTTGAATTAACATAGTCTTCCCCTGTAGGCATAATCATGGTGGACACATGCAACACCTTGTCCTCGTAGTAGCCAGTCACCAGTACTAGAGAGTTTTCCAGGTAAAACCCTGGTCGATATTCTGCATGTGTTAAATCGAGATTAACCAACCCTGTGGGGTCTTCCAGGGCGAATTTGCCTTCGGCTGTCTGCAGCAGCGAGCCCAAAATCAACGTCCTTTCCATCGTGACTTCTGAAATGGTAAGCAGATAGTCCACAGTTTGCAGCTTCAATCGATGCCTCTCCTCATTCATCAAGGTTTGGGCGATCGTCCTTTTAGTCCTGTGCAGGACTTTGGTGTACCTATCAAGAAACATGCAGGTTTTCGAGTCGGCGTCTGCCAGTAAAGTGGGCCTTTTATGGCTCGGCAGGTAAAGCTTCCTCTCGGGGTTGTAGAAGAGCTTCGGAAAGTCGAAGGCGTTGATAACACTGAACACTGTCTCGTTGTGATCGTAGCCTGAGTGCAGGCAAACCTGCAAGGTACAACGGGGGCTTAAATAGGAAAAAAATAGAATAGAAAAGTTGGTGTTACTTCTAAAACCCTGTCAATGTGCTCCTTTTCAATGCTTTGCCCAGAGAGGCACTGGACCTCGAGGGTTGAACAGAGCGACTTTACAGTTTCCTCAAACACACTGTGGGCTGTTAAATCCACGTTGGCGCTCAGAAAACTGTCCACTAACCGTGAACAGAACTCCCTAAAAAAATTAGGCTTGTTTTCCAAGAAAGAGGCTGTTTTAAACCGAAGGGACTTACCTTCGTATGCTGAAGCCGCTCAGCTTGAGCGCCCCTTGCAATTTCTTCTTAAGTTTGTCCAAATTGGCCATTTTAACCAGAATTACTCGGAAATATTTACAAAAACAACCCCTGTAACCTCATTTTACCGCTCTTTGATCACAGACACTGACGTTTGAATTCAAAAATTACTCACCGCCATCTGGTGTTTGGACGCGCGAACGTGAATTACAATGGAGCAGTTAATTTTTTTTTTATTAGTTCATTCACCAGGTCAAGAACCGCCTGTCCCAAATTTTTCAATAGGTCCAATGGAGATTGGACTAAAGAAAAATTTTCGTAGTCAAAAATCTCGATTTAACTGCTGAAAAATTTTTGAAACAGTTGAAAATCTCGATAACTATTGAAAAATTAGTAATTTCTTATGAAATTGCGGGGTTTCAGTTTTCACAATTCACTCATAAGATAGCAAGACGCAATTTAGTGAACGTTTAACTATTGCCAAACTCCGGATTTGGCTCCGCATTGAATTAGAAAAGAAAGAGCAATTAAACCAAAAAAATAGGGTATATTTTACCTTTAACACGATGTAAGGAAATATGCTAGATACTTTACAAAATACCGATAATGTATTTATATACCATTTCACAATATCAAAAACATGTCGCGTGTCATTTAAAACTATACTTATTGGCTAAAAAAAGAAAATTCTGGTTAAAACGTCGCATTTGCTCTGAAGAGTAATTCTGAAACGACCTATTGCGATACAAATTTACACAAAAAAGGGGATCATAAAGTTTAAATGCTACTGTTTAATATTAATGAAAAACCTTGAAGCTGTGGATCTCGACGCGATTGACTACAGCAGTTGGAAAATTAACAGCTAAATAGTCAATCAGGAAATTAACATAATTCATGTACTGTCATGCTCTATTCTTTAGCAGGAACTTCAATTACTCTCGGCTTATCGATAATGCGAGCAGTCCTGTTGCCTTTCTCGACAATGCCGATAATCCAGGCTTGATATCCTTCTTGCTTCTCGATGTCTTTGCAATAAGCGGCTGCTTGTTCTCGGGGCAAACAGATCAGTAATCCTCCGGACGTTTCAGCCGAATGGCCTTGCAACAGTTGGAACATATTTCCACAGGCTTTAGCTACAGCGGCCATTTTTGCAATCACCGGCAGATTATGAATGACAAATGATACTTCGTTCTTTTGATGAGAAGCCAAAGTCTGTGCGTGCCCAAGAAGGCCAAATCCGGTAACATCAGTGGCTCCATGGGCATTGTATTTGTGCATAAGTCTGCTTGCAATACGATTTAGTCGAGCCATTGAGTCCATGGCGCGATGATAAGCTTTGCGCACATCTTCCTCGCTGACCACCAGTTTTATTCTGTTCCAACGTTCTGGTTGGTCTAGCCATTGGTGAGCGTTTACAGCCACCTGCAAAATAACCACTTTAAGTGTTCATTCACACTGCCGTTATGCCATCAGTTAAATTAACTACTTGCCGGTATCCGAGCTTCTCAGAGCAACAGTTTGAGAAAAAACAACAGTTCCTACTGGCCTAGTAGGTGAAAACACTGATATCCGACACGCTTTGATCGCAAAAACTGGCCACTATTTAGTGTAGGGCTGGACAGAAGACTATTGAAAAACAGGTGAAACTTACCTGTGTTCCCAGTGGTTTCGTTAGTACCAAAACATCGCCAACAACAGCATTATCAGGCACGATATATTCATTAGGTTGAGCGACGGTGGAGGCAACTCCGCCAATGGTGCACCAGGGATTGACCACTGTCTGACCGCCTGTAACAGTGGTGCCTGCTTCCAGTGCCGAGTCTTTGAATCCTCTCATAATCAGGGGAATAACCACATCTCGCTCCTTTTCGGTCATTTTGGTGCTGACGCCCAACAGCATGAGCATGTTGTCGCATTCCGTCACTCCCATTGCGTACAAGTCGCTCAGTACATTGGCACAGGCAATTTTTCCCATCATATACGGGTCATCAACGAGGGGGTAAAAGAAATCGGTGGTTTGGACCAGCACCAAACCGCCATGGCGCAGCGGTGTAACCTGCAACAAAAATGCGGTCGTTTCATAAAGGATACTTATCTGTAGAGGAGAGTAGCTAATGGACGAATAGTTTCTAGTTTAAATTTTAATTAATTAAAGCCGGTTTTTTTCGATTCTCACTGAACTTCCAACAATTCTTTATTAGGACACGGGGAAACTTCCTTGAGTTGCTTATTAGGAACACTCCCGCTACTTCTCTAGATAGGGAATAGCCCCAGATAAAAATGGTTTATTAACCAATGCAGCGTGCACAAATTGAGGTTAACTCTCCAGAAGTAGTTAAAGATGAAGCTTCGAAAACAATTAAGGGCTTGTTGCACTAATTAGGGGAAACACTGGGACAAGGATTAAGAAGTTAAGGGGGCTCTGGGCAGATTGGGTGCACAAGTCACCCAATTTGGCCCAGCAGGCTGGTAGCAAGCAAAGCAGAACAAAAGCAAAGTGTGAAGGGAGTTTGGAGCGGCTTGTTGATATACAAGTAAAGAATGAGGCGAAAAGGATTGCGAATACGGAGCGAGAGGAAGGCGCCAAATCCGCACGTTGACAACTTACCGAACAATCAAGGCCAATCCCAATACGTGGAATGGCCAAATGCATGAAATGGTGCTCATGATCGCCCCCGCTGTTGTAGTCCTGCTGCAGCCCCTCGACCAGCTTGTTTAAAACTTCCTGGGGCACTTTGCAACCGCGTCCTTTCAGGTCGGCGAAACGGGTCAACCTGAAGCTCGCCTCCAAATCGTGTGCCAAAGGGTCGAACGGCCGGCGTAGTGCGAGCGCATTGGGATTTCCGCCAAGTTCCAGCTGGACGGCGCTCAATGTGTCCTGTTGCACTCCAGTTACTTGGTAATCTCCCATGCCGGCTTTCCGTTTTGCGATTCCAGACGTTATTTAGACCGGTACTACCGTGTTAAAAACACTGACTTCCCAAGAGCGTTTCTCAAACAATCTCGGACGCTTACAAAATGGCGTATGTTGCCACTGCACTACGGCCGAGTCTCCATGGTTGCGCGTGCGTCGCCCCAATCCCACGCTCCCATTGGCTGATTCTATTGATGTGCGGTAGCCAAAAGTTTCCAGACACTTCACTTCTGTACACAATGGACGGTTTTCTCAATCCATCCCAGCCCCAATCCGTTCAGTTTTCCGCCTGAGGAACAGCCAAATTCCTCAGCAATTCGCCAGTGCGTCTCATGGCGAGATTCGGCTTGATCCGAAACGAGCCAGAAGCTTTTTAATAAGGCGGAATGAATAGTAACTTCGTCACATTGTTGCCAGCTTCACCCAGCCCAACATTAAAAATCGCCAACAGGTGGCGCAGCGACGTATAGGCGTGATCAACAAGCAAAAAATCAACCCCAATTCGTTTTCTCGTCATGTTTCAAATCCGGTTATTTCATATCTACAAAAATATTATTTCTATTTTCACATCCTCTTTATCTCCAGGGTTCGCTCCTTGATCACTGTCTGGCGTGCTAAGGACAGGTTGGTATCAATTGAGTAATTCTTTAAAAATTACTGCAATCCTTACTTATTCAACATATCAGTTTCATTCACGGCGCTTATGGTCTGGATCTTTTCAAGCTCCCGTTCGAAGTCCCCTGGGAGCTTCTGGCTTGGGACCGCACAACGTTTTAAGCGTCGTCTCACTGAATGTTCTGTCGCTAAAACCACAGCAATTTAACTAAAAAAACGTGGAAAAACCGCACTTACTGATAAAAAAATCGTTCTTGACAAAATGTTCACTGCACACCCGCATGCCCCTGCCGATGGGTTTTGTCATTTGTAAGCTATCTGACCATTTTTTTCTCATTTTCGGGTCCGGAGGGAATATATGCAAAGATATCTGCGGTGTAATGTAATTTGAACATCCGAAAACCGAACAATAACATCTTGATTTCGTTGTTAATGTTTTCCGAGTGCGCTGCATATTGGGTAAATCTAAAAATAAATAAAATAAATATATACCTAGTTTTCATACATTTTGCAAAAAAAACTGGTGAGGTATGTTTAGATGGTGTGGCAACAGCGCTTCAATGGTTTGTTTACTAATTTTAAAATCTGTTTTGAGCAAAGCTTCTGAGAGGTCTACAAACATTTTTGGATACAGCTAATCCACTTTTAAAGCTCTTCAAGGCAAACAGGGTGAACGAAAACAGGCACTTGCACAAAGTACAGATTGCGGTTTTGGCTAGGTTATGTTTAAATGTGATTTTCGCGAATCGCAAGGGCCCCTGTAGGGCCACACGCCCAGGCATCCAACTGAAAGATCTCTACATTATTTGCTTACCTGTTTTCTTTTTTTTTCTAAATATAAACAATTATTGCAGGATCTTTCCGTATCAACTTCTCGTTGACATGTCGTCTGTCACACAGATCACAGAGGTGAGTCTGTGATGTGTGGTCTGTCATACTTGTCTTTACCGATGGCTTTGATACAATCACATTAATATACAGAGTGATTCAGTTTGATTAGAATGTGGTGGATTAATGTTCAATTAAGTGAAAGCAATGGAAAGTACGTTAATTCAGTCAATTTTTGCTGTACTTGCTGAATTGAGGTAAGTGCCGCTATTGCATATACATACAGTGTTTGAGTGTAGTATAAGGAAGACAGGCGGGTCTAAATCTTCGATTTCCGGGTACGTGAACGGCCTAAGGGGTGAAAATGTGCTGGTTGCAGTCCTCATGGCGAAGAAAATGATGGCCAATTTCCCACAAAAGGCTTTTAAAGGTCCCCCTGTAGACAAGTGATTTACCTTTGACCTGAGTGGAGTTTTGTCACTTCGTTAAAATGTCACAATCAAATCCAAAATTCCAAAGATGAATCAACTTTTTTGCCGACTAATCGATATCGTTGTGGCCGTTACGATAAATTACTGTTTTACGTTTCTTGCGTACGGAATTTTCTGCAACCACCCGATCAAGCACTGTATAATTCTGCCGTAAGAAAATGGAGCGCATTTTGAAAAACCCCCAATCCGAAATCGAAAGTGTGGTGGAGATTTTGAGTAACACACTGTACTTTGCCGTGCTCAAGAGTCCCATTTCAAGAAAGCTGCAAACCGAAGGGGATCTGTTCTATTTTAGCATCGACGATGAGCTGCACTATCAGCATTATTACTGCGACTTCGGTCCCTTAAACATTTCATGTTTGTACAAGTACTGCATGAAGCTGAATCGGTACATGCAGTTCGCGCGACGCATTAAAGGCATTGTACATTACACGTGCTCCCATCCCGATAAAAGAACAAACGCCGCTTTCCTCATGGGCGCCTATTGCGTACTCTATTTGAAGATGGAACCCAAAGCGGCGCTCCAGCTAATCCAGAAATCTGGCCAGCTCAAGTACGCACCAAACGCCTCGTTGTAGAATTCTCTCCAAGCTCATTCCAGGCCGTTTTTGGATGCTTCGCAATGCTTCTGCCAGTTCACGCTCAAGATGATTGACTGCTACCAGGCCGTAGCCAAAGCGCAAAGTTTCAACTTTTTCAACTTCGACGATTTCAACGTCTCGGAGTATGATCTGTACAACAAGCTGGAATACGGCGATATCAATTGGCTGTTGCCTCGCAAATTCCTCGCTTTTATTGGCCCGGCCGACAATCGCACCGCCCATCCTCCGGAGTTCTACATTAAGTATTTCTTGAAAAACGACGTTAAAACCGTGATAAGGCTGAACAATGTTTTGTATGATTCATACGCGTAAGTATTCCATGTGATTTGCTGCCTCTCCTTCAAACTGGGGAGTTTTTCGGGCCTAGTTGGAGAAGAATTCCGTCCTTCCCGACTATTCACAAGCACAAAATTCTTCTCAACTTAGGCCTAAAACTCGAAAAACTAGCCAGTCAGTGTTGTTTGCAGTTTTATGCAGGTGGGAATTCAGCACTACGACTTGATTTTCCCGGATGGGTCGACACCCCCTAAGGAAATCCTGCTCAAGTTCCTCTACATTGCGGAATCGGCCCCCACGGCTGTAGGAGTGCACTGCAAGGTAAATATTCCTTAATCAAGCAAAGAAAACAACTGAAAGGCTTTTCAGGCTGGCCTGGGCAGAACTGGGTGCTTGATAGGCGCGTATCTGATGAAACATTACCGGATGACCGCAAGAGAGGCAATAGCCTGGCTGCGAATATGCAGACCTGGTTCGGTGATTGGCCAGCAACAGGTTTGGCTGGAAAAGCTTCAGAGCTGGCTGTGGCGCATCGGAAGCCAATATCGGTAAATCAACTCTGGAATGAAGACGAGCCAAGCAAATTAACTGGACGTTGTCTTGACCAGGTTGCAACATTATGGCGAAGGGGACAAAATTCCGCGGCACAGATATGGGATTTACAGCAAGCAATGGCCAGTGGAAAGAGAAAAGGCGATTAGGGACGCAAGACAAAGCATCCAAACAACATTCACTAGGTCCCAAATAGGCACCTTTGTGCAGGTGAATGGCGAAGTTTATTTTCGATATAATTCCTCGATCATCTGCATTTAGGAGCAACGCAAAAGAAAGCAATCAAGCGATAAGTTTCAGGGCGTCGATTCCCGAATATTTCCATCATCTGGCGACAATTTCAAACACATTGCGAAACTGCTCAATTCAGTGCACGGGTTCTGCCAGACGGAGAAGGAAGCCACTGAAAAGCGCCCAACCAGAGTAGAGAAGAAACTAAATTGCACGCTTGAATTGGCGCCCAAAAAACCGTTGATAACCCACAGTGGCAAGAAGCTCCTCGTAAAAGCGCCCTATAAACATGCGGCCAGTCAAGGCGATAAGTTAAACGAGATCAAGATGCTACGCAACCAAAAGCCGAAAGTCTCGAAATCTGTGAAGTGTAGGCACATCTAACGCATGCGGGAGTTTATCAAATATAATCGACTCGCATTTGAAAGTTTCACAAATCATTTACTGAAATATAAAAATGGATTAGCTTAAACTTGATTCTCAAGGGCTTCTTTTTCCGCTTGATATTTGTAATGTAAATCAGAGCAGTCGTTGTTGTCGATGTGCACCCAGCCTGTTTGCTTCATGTGATACACCCTGACGATACCACCTGAAACCCACAAAATAAGCCACTTGCTTTCCATTGAAAGTCTGCAAACTGACCAGAATAGGCGTCACGGTGCGTAGCATGATAGATCGATCGGCGCCCCAAGTCATACGCTTCTTCGTCGGTTAAATCCCATTTATATCCAGAATCCAAGACTCCGAAAGCATAGACTGAGCCAGAGCCTACACTGAAAACTTTGCCAGGCGTTCGGGTGCCTTCTGAGTCGATGTAGTAGAGCTGAGGGCCTCTTTTATCCCACCCGGCCAGCATCATGCCCATGCTGAGCCCCATTCCTTTATAGTTGTAGACCATGTTGGACATTAGTTTAGAGGCTGCAGCTACAGAGATGCGCTCTCTGTTTCGCAGCTCGTACATTCTACACTGCTTGGCTAAAACCCTGTCCCAGTACACGCAGTCTGCAGCCCCACCAGCCAACGTTCCCAAGAGAAAATCGTTGATTTCGACGATTTTCTTCATGGTTTGGGACCCGATGAATTGGCCGCCAGTGGCGCGCGAATCCACAGCCAAAACGACTCCACCTTGGTACATAAAACCGAGTGTAGTGGTTCCATGATCAAAGTTCATCTTGATTTCTCGGCCTGAATCGTCGTTACCCAATTTTGCGAGATCATTCGCCGGCTAAAAATGCATAGGGATGGAGCCTTATTTGGAGTGCTGTGGATTTGCATAGTCCAACTTACATTGGCATAAGGGGGCACCCCAAGTTCCATGCTGTTGGTGAAGTTTCTGCAGAAGTGCGAAACATCATTTTCCAAGCTGACGTCGGTTTCCCTCGCGCCCCAATTCGGCAGCGAACAAATGCCCTCTAAACTCATTTTGTCCACACTAGTATGATTCGAAAATTCGCTTTAATAAAATGCAATTGAATCTGTTGACTAAAGATGATATTCCAAAACTTTAGTTTGACTGGAAAAGCAGGTTAGGTTTACCTTAATATTGACAAAATGTAGGCGCGCCGTCTAGCGGATGCATCAGGAATGCGCATTGCCGTGATCAACGCAGTTGTAAAGTCAAATTTTCGCTGATTATTTGGAAGCAATCAACAAATTTGGCTTTGTTGGCAATTTTTTGATTTTGTCCCGAATTCGACATTGAAAATAGTTTTTGTAAAATTTCTACAAAGCTATAAATTTATATGGGAATTTTTGGCGTAAAAGATTTCCAGATTGTCAGTATTTTTAAGTAAAACTCTTCAAAATAAAGCATTTTTGAGTAGAAAGTAAAGCAAGATAAAAATTCAATCAAAACTAAGTCCACACCTTTTTAACTCCACAGTCTCCATAGGGATGGTGATGAGGAGTTTTTCAAAAAATGCATTATAAACTTTGGCTTATTCTGTTCGCTTTTTGATGGAAAATTGATTTGTTTGATTTTTGTTCGAAATTCGAAGCTGGAAATGGATTTCAAAACTTTTTAGAAAGCGATGAAGAATTCGAAATTTATTTCATAATTTTTCGCGGAAAATTTCGTTAAAAGGATTAATGGGAAGGGGATTAAAGGAAATCCTTAAAAGGTTTAATGGGCAGAAAATGGAAGATGGGGCGCCAGCTTGCAAAAAGCTGGAAAGAATGATCTCTAATCTATAAATCTTTCGATTTTTCTTTTTGATCAAAACCATATGATTTTTGTGCCAAACTCGAAGCTGGAAACGGATTTCAAAACTTTTTACAAAGCGACGAAGAATTCGGAATTTATTTCATAATTTTTCGCCGAAAATTTTGTTAAAAGGATTGATTGGAAGGGGATTAAAGGAAATCCTTAAAAGGTTTAATGGATAGAAAATGGAGGATGGGGCGCCACCTTGCAAAAAGGTGGAAAGAATGATCTCTAATCTATAATACTTTCGCTTCTTCTTTTTGATCAAAACTATTTAATTTTTGTGCCAAAGCCGGAAACGGATTTCAAGACTTTTTACAAAGCGACGAAGTATTTAATATTGTGAACTGAAAAAAAAATCATAAACCTTTTCGATCCACCATCGATGATCCACCAAAAATAGGGCGTTTTTTTTGTATCATTCTTCATCAACAAGGTAGAAAATGAAAGCCAGATGAGTTAAAACATGACACCTCTTATATTCAAAATTAGTTATAGATTAACACAAGATTCAAAAGGTTCAACGTTGTTAATTACGTATCTATCAATGCTCAATGATTTTTTAAAAGGGTTTGGTTCATTGAGCAGCCTCCAACTGAATTTATCAGTTATTTATGGGCATCAGTATGCGGGAAATACTCCTCAACTAACCAAATAATAAGTAGTAGGTAAAGAAAAGAACCGTTGATGCTGGAAATGGTGTGATAGTTCGGTTACGACATTAGCCTAATAAATTTATTATTATTATTATTAATATTATTATACATTTTAGCTTAATTTATTTAACTAATTACACTTAGGATGAGTGCTTGCGGCACTCACAGCAAAAGGGTGCAACCTCATTTATCAGACTTGAACCTATGCTAGTTTTGCAAGACTAATATGAGGTGAAAAGTTGCGCCCTTTTGTATGGGGGGCTACTTGATTCCTATAAAAAAACTAACGAAGAATAGAAGAAACTGCTGAACTTCCCCGTAGGTACCGGGAATCCAGTAGGTTGGCGGTGGAGTTTTATAGAAAATCAGTAGCGTTTGTTAAACCGAAGAATATAAATTGTACATATTTATACAAGAAACAGATAATCCTCTCACTGAATTGTCACTGGGTCCCATCCTTGAACAGATGTCCTTCGAACTTTACACTGAATGGATGAAGGTCTGTGCGACTTCTGGATCGATTCTCCTATCGAAGGGACGTTAGAAATAATGGAAAAAGAATGATGAAGAGTTGACTGGCTACGCAGATGGCACATGATTTCCTCATCAGGATCGCATCCACATTATCGCCTAAAATGGAACAAGAAAAACAACTATAATAGACGTTTCATGTTGAGCGGCAGCTAACGACAGCTCGATTTCGACGAAATGCTAAACCTTTTCACCAATTTTACGGTGTCCATTTGCATTATCTCTAACCAACCCCCGAAACAACAGTCCGCATCCCAACAATGCCGCTGCGTGTTAATTTGGCGAAAAATACCGACTCACGAAACGGTAAAACACGCAATCCCGCTATATTTGCCCCATTGTCTGAGGCCGGCTTTTCAGGCACATTATCATAACAATTCTAGCCACTTTACATCCAATACTGTTACATAATGAATCAATTGTGCGGAAGGATAATTTATAATTAGCATGTTGCTTCCACCCTAAAGGATGCATTTTCGATCCAACTAGGAAAAGTTGCAAGTTTTTACTGGGGATGCTTGAAGTGGTTGATGATCAGAAAGGACTATAAAGCAAGGGCGGATCCAGGGGGAAGGCATGGGGGTCATGAC